CCGCCGCTAGCTTTTTTCCAGCCTGACCCTATATCCGCTAATATTGCTCGTCGAGGGAGGCGATGACTAGGCATACATGCGTAACACATGTCCTAACCATCTCAGTCTTTGTAACTGCTTCACAACTTCGTCGATTGATTTCCCCTGTTACTTACCTAGAACTCGACGGATACCTAACCTCAATGTTGCTCACCTTATTATACCACCAACCAACACGGGAGATAGAGCGCAGGCACCTATGATCGAAGACAACTAATCTTTTCATGTTTTCCACTCTCAGTGGCCAGGTCTCACAGCTGGCCATAAAGGAAGACGGAGCGGACTGATGAGCAGTACACCCGCCCTTTGGTCGATAGTCGAACATCTCGTCTACGCCAGAGTCGGCGTAAACTGGCAAATGCGAAACTAGCCCTCTGTATCCGTACTCAGCTGAGATTTCGTCAGAGATCAACCCGTTGGCGTTGGCTGATGGTACTTCCCAAACAAGTGAAGCGGTCAACGTGCTCTACCACTTCACTTCCTATTTTTAAACTACAGCCAAGCATCTCCAGAGAACTTCTCGATCGACAGAGTCAAAAGCTGCCTTTAGGTCTGTCTGTCTGGATTCAACATAGAACTTGGCACCGAAGTGCAGCAGTTCGAGTTGCCACGTTCCGAATAGCACACAAAGGTAGACAAGAAGATGAGTGAACAGAGTCAATAGAGTTTGACAAGTATACTAGTGAAACAGAATGGGTAATGGTAGAAAGGAATATGAAAGATTACAGAGACTGAATACATCTGCGCTGGCCATTGACAACGATTTTGAGCCATGTCACCTGTTGTCGCCAGCCATTGATTCCTAGAGTCAGTCCCGAGGGCCCCAACCCGGAAGTCTGCATCTCCCTACCTGCTGACTCAGTTTATTTGTCAAGGATTTCATGGATTGATGAGGCCATGTTTTTGTTTGGCCACCACTGGCTCTTTTCCAACCTTCACCTATATCAGCTAGCAATGCCCGTCGGGGGAGGCGGTGGTTAGGCATGCGCAGCACGTGACCTAGCCATCTTAGTCTATGTAACTTTATAGCCTCGTCGATTGATTTTCCCTCTTTGCCCAACACTTTACGCCTAACGTCAACATTACTTACCTTATTAAACCACCTAACGTGAGACAGAGATCGCAGACATCTATGATCGAAAGCAGTCAACCTTTTCATGTCTTCAACTCGTATTGGCCATGTTTCAGAGCCATAGACAAGGACGGAGCGAACTGATGAGCAGTACACACGTCCCTTGGTTGATAGCCGGATGTCACGCCTACGCCAGAGATGGTGTAAGTCAGCGAAAGCAGCTCGAGCTTTTCGGATCCGTGCTGAGATTTCATCGCCTTTAGGTCAAGAAATACAATGACTTTTGGACGCCGGTAGGAATTCCTATGTTCTAGAATCTGTCGGAGGGTGAAGATATGATCAATACACCCTCTTCCTGGTCTAAAGCCTGCCTGGCTCTCTCGTGTTTGTGTCTCCCGAGCACCACTCAATCTACGCATGATTATTGAGCCTAAGACTTTAGATACTATATTAGTCAAGCTAATCCCTCTGTGATTATCACAGGAAGACTTGTTTCCCTTCTTGTATATCGGGATAATCAGTGACTTACACCAATCCGATGGGACTTCTTCTGATTCCCAGACGCTGCCTAGTACCTCAGTTAATGCCGGATCGGCCGTGGCCCGGATTAACAACGACCGCGCTTCCTGCTGCCGTGTCACAGGGCAGGAGTGATAAATATGCTACTGAGGCACACAAAACAATAAAGAACAAACAAAAACAGGCTGCGTGTGACCGGCCTCAAGCAGTTGTCCCCTGGGCTCTGCGGTCACGCAACCAACTTTCACGGTGTGGGCAGCCGGGAAGTAACAATCGCCCTCACAATCCGAAACGCACGCGAAGTCTGATAGCATAGAATTTAACGTTGTAAAAAAGAAAAATTGATTTAGAATGACAAGTGGAACAAGTGAAATCGGTCGTTCGATTCGAGTTTTGTCCAAGAGGGTGCAAGAACACTATCCTGCGTGGTTACGAAGAGGTGGAAGTATAGCAATAAAAAGCACTATCATTGAACATCTGGTCGATAATGATCACCCTATCTCTATAGGCTCCGCTCTTAAAGTCATCTACACGGCAAAGAGTAATTTACCCAAATCCCTACGTACCCGACTCATCTGTATTGCTGAAGGTTTGGCTATCAAAACAGAAAAGCCAGATCTCTGTGTACAGAAAAAGTTCGTTCAACCCTTCCAACTTTCATGGTCTTAATCCCTCTCTTCCTGGTGTGGTGAGGAACATGATACCGCTCAAGGTCTAAGTTGCCTTTATTTGGTAATTTGACTAGGTAGTCTGAGCAATATAGAGAATAGGCGTCGGTAGAGTGCTAGGTAGGGGAAATCAATTGACGAGGCTGTGAAGCAGTTACAATCGACTGAGATGGTTAGGACACGTGTTACGCATGCATGCCTAGACATCGCCTTCCTCGACAATGGGCAGTGTTAGCTGGCTGACATAGGGTCAGGCTGGAAAAGAGCTAGCCGGTGGTGATCAAACCAAATCACGGCTTCATCAGTCAATGAAATCCACAACAGTTAGTTTAAGCCACGTAGGAAGGTGTAGACTTCCTGACTGGTTGGGGTCTTCGCGACGGTAAAAACCAATGAAAGCTGGAGACAATTGGTGATATAGCTCAAAATGATCGTTCTCAATGACTGGCTTGTGCAGATGCAACCATTCCTTGTGACTTATAATTTCCAATGAAACTATATTGTTATTCGTTCGTTATTACTATTCCTTTGTCTCACAGCCCTGTTTACTGTCTGTATTATGCATTTCTTCTACTTTCTTCTCTTGCTTTGTGTGCTACAAGGAAAGAGTGTGGCGACTTGAACTGGTGCACATCGGTGCAAAGTTCTATATCGAATACAGAGAGTCAGACAGACAGTCTTTCAGGAGATCATCAGGTACCATTTTTCCTCAAACAACTTCTGCAGCAGTTACGTGAGTATGTTATCTGTTGATGCCTCCAGGTCCGTTTTTAGTGTTTCAGGAAGGGATTTCATTAGATCCTGATAGTTTCCTCGACTTCACCAACTTTATGTCCTTCAAAAAATCTCTTTTTGTCATTCAGATTCTGAATGTGATGTTAAACTTGCAACCTTACGATCTGTCCCAGCTTCTTTGAAGTATTCTGGGTGTTTGTAGAGAGCTATTCGTTTTCTTGTCTTCCTTATCTGGCTAAGATGTACTCACGGGTTTCTTTTCAAGCGCATGTTTTAAAGAGTCACAGTGTCATTTCACACAGACTTCCTCCCATGACGTTTCTAAATGTCATCAACTTTATCCTGATGACTGCTGTGAAGGCATCCATTGTAGCTACCTTCTTCAATTAGTGAATGTTTAACTTGAACTGTATTCCATCTTCAGATTTTTCTGAAGGCTCTCAACTGGATCTTGAAGGTTCCTAGTACTAAATATAGTAGTCTGAGCTTAAATCTACTTCTCTTCTCGAACATATGTTCAGTAGGCTGCGTATATACTTTCTTCACATTGTCCTGAAGTATATCTGTCTGTCTGTCTGTTTTCTACGTAGAACTTTGCACTGATGTGCACCAGTTCAAGTCGCCACACTCTTTCCTTGTAGCACACAAAGCAAGAGAAGAAAGTAGAAGAAATGCATAATACAGACAGTAAACAGGGCTGTGAGACAAAGGAATAGTAATAACGAACGAATAACAATATAGTTTCATTGGAAATTATAAGTCACAAGGAATGGTTGCATCTGCACAAGCCAGTCATTGAGAACGATCATTTTGAGCCATATCACCAATTGTCTCCAGCTTTCATTGGTTTTTACCGTCGCGAAGACCCCAACCAGTCAGGAAGTCTACACCTTCCTACGTGGCTTAAACTAACTGTTGTGGATTTCATTGACTGATGAAGCCGTGATTTGGTTTGATCACCACCGGCTAGCTCTTTTCCAGCCTGATCCTATGTCAGCTAACGGGATACCTAACCTGCCATATGTTCTGATGGTGTTCTCGTGACTCCCATTGCTAGATTTGCTAAGGGCGATGGGATAATACGCGACCTAATGTTTGTGTACAAGGTTTAAAGAAGGCTGTGTGCTATTTGCACGTGCTCCAACGTAATCATGTTACCCGACGGACAGCTGCTGCCTTGACGTGGTGATCGGGCTTACAATTCCCGATGACCCAACAAGCTACACTGGCTGGAACCAATGTTTCTGCAGGTCTTACCATGCCACGAAGGTTGTTAGAATAGCGATTACACTAAAAGCAGTTACCGGAATTCTGTAAGAATCATTCCTACACTTTACTGGGGGTCTGTGGGCGAAGTAGTACTTCTGGGGGACAGGGATGTAACAGAAGTAGGGTGTTTCCCTCAGATGACCAGAATGCCAGCCAGCTATGCTGTCTCTCCACTCTGCTGGAGAGATGGGGTTAGAAAAAGTCGACCTCAAAATTTGTACATCCCGACTTACCACCCTACAGTGGTCCGTAACCGGCGGTAACTTCACTAATACGGAACCAAACCGAGGAACCAGTTCATACAAGCCGTGTGTGACCGGCCTGGCTCAAGCAGTTGTCTCCTGGACTCTGTCGTCACGCAACACTAGCCATCTCTCTCTCTCTGTTTCAGGTACCCGAAGAATCAAGCAACTTCCACAGTGGTGTGGGCAACCGGGAAGTAACAACCGCCCACACACTTCGAAAAGCACACGGTGGTGTGTAGATATCGATCCACTAACTATCTGTCCCTGAGATTTCCAAAACTGCGCCTAATCTGAGCAGGAAACGTGCTGCTGAAACCCCTACTGAAATCTCCCACTCAGAACTCAAGGAAATAATAATAATCATTCATATGATTTCGGTTATAACAATGCAATGTCAAAAAATTAAAATAAATAAATAAATAAATAGAATACATTTTCAAAAGAACAACTTACGGGCATAGTACAGCATGCGTTCTGTAGTCGTTGTTTTACCAGCATCAATGTGAGCAATCAGACCAACATTTCGAATTGCTTCAATACAAGAATCAACACCTTGACGAGGCTTTGATGGCTGATTACTGCTGCCCACACGTTGTTGTTGTTGGTGGTGGTGGTGGTGGTGTATATGCCGCAGACAGTAGTAATAGTGTTGACAAGACGTGGGCTTACCAATCTGACAGCCGAATAAAACATTTAACCATTTCCCAGACGTCGACAGTAGATGTGAATACTTCTTCAATAACATTTTGAATAGTATCAATCAGGTCATTACTATTGCCAGTCTCCTGTACATTTCTTTCAATTGATAAATAAATTAAAAGTGTATAACAATAATAACATATTGGTATTAATCCAGTAACAAGAGGCGTTGGTGTTAAATAACTAACTATCCTATAAAATTTGTTAGGAAAATCGGCAAAGATCAAAATCAACATAGAAATAAAGGGGAAACTAATAATGATAACTAACATGAAAGAGAATATAATGCATCTACTGTTATACCATATAAGGAGGGGACATCTGAGACCCACCCCACGTAGGATTATTAATAATAAAGCAGGAATTAGGGTGGTGGCATTTAAACCTACAAACTCACTCAGATAGGGGAAGCTCTGTAGGTTAAAGGAGCCCGTTGGTGGACCCAATTAAACAAAATAATATAATTTACAAACTACCCTACAATGACTGTGAGTTAGGTCAAACTAGTAGATCGGGGGTAGTGAGATGGTCGGAAGATAAGAATTTAGCTAAGGTAAGAATGGTTGACCCCACCAGAGAAGATAAGTAATTGGGAAAAAAGCTCACCACTACATTGCACTGCGTGCATGCATTAACACACAACCACACAATAGCATGGTGGAAGAGGGTTAAAATTCTAAAAAGTAATCTAGGTAGGTGGAGAGAGAGGTTGATTACTGAATTCTGGCTAGTTCATCGAGTCTACACCCAACAGAACACATGTAATAGGAATGATTCATCACTTATATCTGAAATATGCAAAATACTAACACTACCAATCATCAAATGAAGTGAAAAATAATGGAACTATATAGATGATTACAAACGCCCATTAAAATTTTCAAAAGAATGGATACTGAACAAAGAGTACCCTTTTCGATCAATTCATCATCAGGCTCTACATTTATACATACATTATAGTAAATGAATGAATTAGTGTTATGAACGACATTAATGTTTAAATAACATCAAATCAATAATATTGATAGATTACAGCTGAATCGCATCAACATAAATAAGCTGAAAGGAGTAATTAATGACATGGATTTCTACTGTCGATATATGGATGATAGATACATTTCTGGTTATGAAAGACGACAATGATGCAGTGAACATCCTTGACAAGTTTAATGATGCCCATTCAGCAATAAACTTTACCATAGAGAAAGAAAGTAACGACAGTATCTCATTCCTAGACGTCTTCATGGTAAGGAGAGAAGATGGCACACTAAGAAGGAGTGTGTATAGAAAGCCTACAACAACAGGTCAGTACACTCATTTTTTGAGTTTTGTACCTTTGAAATATAAACGTAACCTCGTGAAGTGTCTGGTTCATAGAGCTAGGTTAATCTGTCCGGATGACTGCTTCAATGAGGAGCTTAAGATTATTAGAGAATTACTTAGAAAAAATGGCTATCCAGATAAATTCATCGAGAAAAATATAAATTCAACACCAAAGAGAGTCAGTACGGCTACAGTTTCGAAAAACCAATGTTCATAAAATTGCAGTTCCTCGGTGACGACATCAGCGAAATAGTAACACAGCGAGCACCTGAAGAATGCAGTTAAAAGAACTTATTATGCAGCAGAGGTACGTTGTCTCTTTACAACCACACCTATTTTATGTTCGAGAAATAAGGATAAACTAGTTAAATTTGCCTCCTCTACGTGTATTTACCAGTTTGACTGCAGCTGCGGAGCCAGCTTCATCGGGGGGCGTACAATTAGGCAAGTTCATCGTCGTATTTCCGAACATCATCCAACGTGGTTAAGCAGGGGACAAAGAAGATCTATTCGTAGCTCTAATTTAGCACACCTTGTAGATTGTTAGCATAAGGTTGATGTGAATACTGAATTTAAAAATTATTTATCGCATTCCGACTAATCTTAATTTTGCTCTGAGAGTTCGTCTTCTACAGACGGCTGAGGTGATTGGCATTCATCTGAAGCCAAGCCTATGTGTACAGAAAAAAATTGTACAGCCACTTTCCCTACCGTGGCCATCATCACAAGAATGGATAAACAGGACTGCGTCGCCCCCCTCCCCCTAAACCTATAAAAATTATAATTATCTAAATTATTTTATTTTTTATTTATTTTGTCCACTTCATCTTTAATTACGTGTTAACCTTGTAAAATTAATTTATTCTAACCATTTCTACCTTTTAATTGTGTGTATTGATTTTCTTCGTTAATTATTAACCCATTGACACTGTTTAATTATTGTTAACAAACTTATCGCCACTTGATTGGCGAACTGTTGTATTGTAATTAAAATGTTATATATATTAGAGTAGAGCCAAAGATTCACTGCACTCGCTGTTCTGCTCAATTTGGGAGTCCGAAACCATTCCTTCCGATTGGAGCACCTCAGTTCTGCTACCGTTCCACAAAAAGGGAGACAGGTCACTATGCGAGAACTACCGAGGCATAAGTCTGATTGATATCGCTGCTAAGGTTTTTGTTTCCATTCTCCTGAACCGCTTCGCGGCCGAACGCCACGTGCGAACAAGGCCAAATCAAGCCGGATTTCGACCTGGAAGAGGCTGTGTTGATCAATTATTCACACTGCGAAGAATTTTGGAACACAGGGACAAATTCCAACAGCCGACGGTTGCTTGCTTCATCGACTTCCGAGCGGTATTCGACTCAGTTGATCGAGGAGCACTCTGGTATCTAATGGAGCTCGACGGAGTTCCGACCAAGCTAATCAACCTGCTCAGGTCATACTACTCCAACACCAAAGCTCGAGTCCGAGTGAACGGTGAAGAGTCTCGCAGTTTTGAGGTAACCAGCGGTGTCCGGCATCCCCCATCTTGTTCAATTTCACAATCGATTGGATTTTGCGGCACGCCCTAACCGAGCACCACGGCGTCCAACTTTCGCCCGATATTCACATAACCGACCTCGAATTCGCCGACGACGTCGTGCTATTAGCTGAAAACTTCCCCGATATGCAACAGGCGCTCGACCAGATAAACCACCTCGCGCCTACTATCGGTTTGAAAATTAACACTTCCAAAACCAAAATGTTTTCGAACACATCCACCAGCAGTGATGAAATCTTATCCCTGAATGGAGCACCTATTGAAATTGTGCCATCTGGGATCCATAATGCTCCCCAACGGTCAAGCGAAAAACGAAGTGAATGAGCGAATCTCCAACGCCCGGAACGCGTTTCTACAGCTGAGGAGCGTTCTATGGAGCAAGAGAGAAATCAGTCTCAGGACTAAAATTCGGGTCTACCAAGCTTCCATACGACCCGTTCTCCTGTATGGCTGTGAAACCTGGCCTCTTCGCGCGGAAGATTTACGCAGACTCGAGGTAGTAGACCATTGGTGCCTCAGGTACATTCTGCATGTTCGTTGGCAGGACAAACTCTCCAACGAAGAAGTGCGTCGTCGTTGCTACAACATCAACCAAATTCCAGTACTGGTCCAACAACGCCACCTTCGGTGGTTTGGCCATGTTCTGCGCCGACCAGATGACGATCTGGTCAAATCAGTTCTAAATCCCTCGCCATTACCATCTTGGCGATGTCGCAGGGGTGGACAGCTGAAGACATGGCTTGGTACAGTCAAGGCTGATATGGAGTGCCTGGGGCTACAAACCGTCTACGGACTCCGTATGTGGAACAAGAATTGGATATCCCTGTCGTGGCAAAACCTTGCATCAGATCGCCGCGCCTGGGCAGCGATGATTCGAGACGTTCATGAAGCCAGCTCATCCTCCCGTAGGAGATAGCCGAAGTAAAGTAAAGTAAAAGCCAAAGATGAGGATCTAATTGAAAAGTAAATATTTCTTCGCTCAATCTTTCTGTTTTATGAATAAGCTGAATGTCAGAAGAATTAGGAAGGATAATATTACAAATTCATGAGTTTATAGTTTCTACTGAAGGCCAGGACAATAGTAGGGGCTGGACTTGCTTCTTTTGGATACAGAGAGCTGGTTGTTTGAGGCGAATCGCAATAGCCTCTGTTGTTTGGAGCCTGCAGTGCTTCGATGTTTTTGGTAATTTATCTGGCACCCGGTATAATATAGAGAAGGATTCATCTACGCCGGCTTTGTGGCCTGTTCGCACCAGATGTTCCAATATCCAGCTGTTAATAGTGATTAGTGCCTTGATATGATGATGATGAATAGTGGCAATAATAAAATGTGCTCGAAACTTGGTCATCAGTAAACATTACTGTATAACAACACTGTGAGACTTTATCAAAATAGAATTTTAATCCATAATGGTATTATTATCTCAATTGTAACTAAAATCCCAGACTAAGCAACTTTCACAATTTAAAAGAAACAGTTTATGCGGCATTTAACATTCCGCATTCATCTCTCTTTCTGTAGTTGTGTTATCCATAAATTCTATAGTAAATACACCTACATATCAGACAGAGAGAGATAATTATGGAGTCAGTCAGTGAAATGCTTCTTAGTGGGCATAAAAGTCATGAATCCAAGAACCAGGGGGAAATTTTTTCCCAAGTATGATAAGCAACAAGCATCGAAATCAACTTAGTAAATCCTTAACAATCAAAATCAACGTCTGTTAGATGTACGAGCCCAGGACCTTTTGGTTACAAAGCGAGTTCGTATACCATTAAGCCATTGGGAGTGATCCAATGACCCATGAATTCGAACTTCTGTCAATTCAGAACATAGCGCGACCCAGCTGGCCTTGTAACCAGAAGGTCCTGGGTTCGAATCCCGATGAGTGAGTACCGCTTAAAAGTCCCAAACTAGGACAAAACAGCTGTCCAGTACTCTCTGCAGTTTTTCCAATGGTTCTCTAAGTAATGTCAGCTCATGATGAAAATCCTGAAACCAATCAAATCCCTATCAACCCACACTTGAATAATTCCATATTAGTTTGTTTATTAAATGTATCACACACACTCAGTCAGTGAGTGGAACAGTATTAGTATTCAATGGATGACAAAGTTTCGAACACAATTCATTATTGTTGTTCGTGATCATATCACTCACCAATTATAATCACATGAC